GGAGAAGTCCAGCGTGCGTTGTTAAAATGGCACGTTTGTGACTTAAATTGTCCTCGTTTGCAGGGTCTTACTCAAGCAGAACAGTTAAGTTCATTTGCTGATTGCATCTACTACTTTCAAAAATCCTGAGTTTTTAAATGCCACCTTGGCTAATATTTTTCACCTGTGAAAATACAGCTTAGTTTAAGCATGTTTTTAATTTACTGGATGGTGGATATCTGTGCATATTCACCACGTCTGTTGTTATTTCCATGTTACTTGTGATTGTAGCAATGTTCTGAAGATCGCCCAGGATGAGTATTCTGGAGAAAATCTCATCAGCAGAAATAAGTTGTTTAGCCTGATTTCATCTTGGAAAGGTTTAGGAAGGGTTTGGCATTATGTGACTTCTAGTGGTGGTGAAAACGATTAACTTCTCAGCAGTGCAGCTGCTCGGAGTGATTTCCCTCAGCCACAGAGCAGCGCAGGCGGGAGAGATGAAAAGCTTCCCACGCGATCCTTTCCCTTATCTCGCCTGTTTTCTGACTGAGGGGCAGCCCACAGGAGTGAGAGGCAGTTTATTCCTTGGTGTCTGTTAAATCCCTGAGGATGCCTGCAGGGTTCTAATTAGTGCTGACAGTTCCAGTGACATGGATACTTCCCCCTCTGAAGGAGGCTGCAGCAGCAACTCCTTTCACTCAGGTCCTGAGGAGCAACTCTCAGATCGTTCTCTGTTTCTCCCTTGGGTTTTGTTGTGCCTGTCGCTGTGTTGATGTCAGTCACTCGCGCTGGCTTTGTGCTGTGTTCCAGCTTGAGCTTTGGCTGCACACCAAGAGGTCGATAGACCAATTTCCAAAACACAAGTGCTTTCCCTGTCCAACGCTCACTACTCAATCCTGAGCAAGGCTACCTGCCGAGGGGGATCTCATTACTCCGGGGCAGTGACAAAATCCATCGGGTCAATCCGAGTGTGCTGCTGCGATGTTCACCCACTCTGTCAGGTAGCTCAAGTTTCAGCCCTTTGTTGGTGTCACAGCTCCCTCTGTCAGGATCAAGAAGATGATGTTAGAAAAGTGGTAGCCCGGGGTTACTGCTACTCTCACCTTTGTGATTGTTTTGGCTCTTATCTAGTCTGAATATAGAAGTCTGAGATTGCCTGGAACAAAGCTTGTCACTCTGTCACACCTGAGATTTCATTTCCAAAGCAATTCTGCAGTAAAAAATAATCCAAAACAACTTCTAACTTAATTTCAGGTGGGTTTTTTTTTTCCCCTTTGGAGTATTTTTCACTAACCTGACATATTACTGTTCATAATATGTAGTAGTAAGAGAATAAATCTCTAAGTAATATGTAGAACTAGGTTCTGACTCTGAGATTAGGTAGAGAACAATTAATTGTGGGCAGTGCAAATGATATGCCTTCGATGCTAATGATTTTAAGTTTCTTGGTTTAAAGGAAAGTAAATTCAAAATACACCTTTATTAATACTATTGTTTTCATCAGTTAAAGGTTAATGAATTGACATCCTTAGAGCTTTCTAGTTGCAGAATACACACATACTCATTTTGTAGGAATTAAAATACATATATTACTTTCAAATAGATTAACAAGTTGTGTCTCTGTCCTTACTTGCAGTTTAAACTGCAGTAATGTGAAAAAAGATCACCAAAACGATGGGATAGGAGAGGGAGAAAGATGACTAGCACATCTACATGTCTTAACTAGTCTGAAATAAAGAAGATATAGTATATAGCAAAAGCTCCAGGAGAAAACACAATATTTACAGAAGTGAGCTCCCAGGATGAATTAAAATGCAGAGATGGTTACACTAAATTTTCTTGTGAGTAAACATTCAAGTTCAGATTTTTTTCTCCAATTTTTTTACTTTGCTTTTAACATTTGTGCTCACTTAGTTTACACTGTACATAACCATAAACATTCCAGCAGCTACAAGTCTCTAATATTAGACCTTAGGGTATCAGATGTTAATTTATGTTCAAGTGGTATAAAGTTGAGTTAATTTCTTTAATTTTTGTTTTCACTTTCCCCTAATTCTTGCTGCCTGGTAACTGAGAACTGAAAATTAACCAGAAATTAATTCTGTCATGAGTTTCTTCTTCAACCCAGGCAGTGATGTCAAGGATAAGGCAAGACGTTTAAAACCTTTAGCATATAAAGTCTACCCTCTTTTCCTTTATCTTTTCAATGTAGTTTATTGTGATTCATTTGTAATATGCACTTCATTACCTAAAGTAGTAAAGAACGCTTAAAAGCATTGTGCCACAAGTGGTCCTAATGCATTGCTAGGAAGAATAAATGATTTTTCTCCCCCTCCGATGGAGCATTCCCAGAATTGTAACAAGAAGATTGGTATATGGCAATAAGGCAACATTCAGTAGTATTTCTCCCTCAATTATGAGACAACTCCCACTCTTTAGTTCATAAATGGGACTATGTAGATGTCCTGTTCCTGAATTTTTCTTCAGAGGAGTACAAAGGGCTGTGTGTTTGTTTCTTTTTTCCCCTTCAGCTAGAATAGAATTTGAAATGCTTTCCTGTTTTCTTCTTCTGAATTCTGTCTGGGATAATCAGCACAGCAGCATGTGCAGGGCTGGTGTTCCATTGAAGCAAATACTGTTCCATATGCAACCAGTGCCTCAATATCCAGATGATCTTCCACATGTTCATGGAGAAGGGTTTTCTCACCGAGTTGCACCTTGTGGAAGGTGTGAGTTTATCTGAGCTCACTGCACTTGGCTTGGCAAGTAACTACCAATGGAAGAGACTCACTCTTCACTCTCTGGGGTATTTTTTAGTAGGAGACCATAGGTTTGGTGCAGATACACATTCTTCTGTGTCAGGGGTAGCTTTGAGGGGCATTTGCAGAATGAACAACTCTTCAGCATGCAGGGTTGGGTTTCTGGCAAAGCTGCAGTTGAGCTCTGGAATTTATTGTAGTGATGTGGACAAATCACTGTTATCATTATTGTCATCACCAGTGCAGCTACATGCTGTAGTTACTTTGTGATGGGACATATTTCGGTTATAAGTGTTGTTTGGGGGTTTTTTGTTAATGTAGATGCCAAAAACAATCCTTTCTTTTGTTTATTTATTCTTTGGAATAACAAATACTCGTGTGCATTTTACTGCTACAGTAAAATTAACTGTAACCCATAGAGGAAATAGCATGTTACCAACTCTCTTTATTCACTTTGTGGTTATTTGATACTGTGTAAACTTAGTTTTACCGTAGTTTTTATGTTTTGTGGAGGCAGTAAGTAGTCACTAGCAAAGTGTCAACAAGAAAATCTAGACTTATAGTGCTAAGTGCCTTTTTAATAGTGTGGGTTGGAGGAGTAACAATTTCAGGGCCTGGACAAGAGAGGAGATAGTGCCTTTGCTGGATTTTCAACTTCAGGTGAGTTCCTTGCATGAATTCTTAGCAGGAAGGTTTAAAACCAGGCAGAAGTCAGTTTAAAGAAATAGAGAAGACATCAAAGATCAGTCAAGCCTGATAGTTTTCATAGACTGGTAGGATGTTCCCTGTCAGATTAGGGCTGTTCCAACAGGATTGTCAGGTCCTGGAGTGCAGTGACAGGTCTGGGAGTCCCTGGATTTGGCTGCCTGGGTTCAAAGCCAGCTCTGGCACTGTTCTGGGATCACAGGGGGGTGCCCCCAGCCGTGTCTGTGGCCTCTGCCCCATGTCCCAAGAGCTGTGCTCGAGGTCATGTCCTTCCCTGGGCTCCCCAGGGCTGTTCTGTGCCCAGCTGTGCCTCCCCTGTCCCAACACTGCCTTGCTCACTTGGCTCCCTGCTCCCCTGATCCCTGTGGATTTGTCTGGTGGCAAATCTCAGGACAATCTCAGGACCTGCTCTGCTCTTGCTCAGTGCCAGTGAGGCCCCTTGACCCCTCTTTCTCCACACCCTGCAGAGCAG